CCTACAGCCGACTTGATCTAAGACCCCTGATGAGCCTAGTGGGCGGCTAGGCGAAACCGGTCGGGTCCTTACACCATGCGGTAGTATGCTTCCGGTTCTGTGCTTCATGTTTTTCGTATGGAAGCCTTCCGCTTATGTGCTTCATGATTTAATTTTATCTGGTCGCGTTCGGGAACACTTGTCTTCCTTGCGTGTGTTCTACTTCTCTCTTTTGTGTGGTGTGTGCATGGAGTGAGTTCATTGCCATCTATTGTACTTGGTACTCGTACCATACTTCGTCTCACGAAGGAACCGACGTAGGAGTTATACTACTGTTGAGTGACTTCGCTTACTTCACTGCATGATGGCGTCGAACGGTAACCCCAATGTACCTCCTGTACGGAATTGCTACAACTGTGGTCAACCGGGCCACATCTCTCGTTTCTGTCCACTTCCTGACCGTAGACTGAATAGTGGTCAGCAGTCCAATAGTACAGCGATAGTTCCTGCTCAGCCGTTGACTACCTATCCATCGAGTAACAGTGTCGGTACGGCCGCTCCTTACTACTCGGGGCAGTACTATGGTGGTGGGGGCGGGAGTGGGTTAGGAAGGCGGGTTAGCACTTTGGAAGAAAATCTTGGGACGAATTAACAGTAAACACGAAGCTGACGCAGCGAGGGAGAAAGCTCGTCAAGGAGAGGAAGACCGAAGGAAACGAGAATCTGAAGATGACAATCGACGTCAACAAGAAAGAAAAGAACGGGTGGAGTTCCAGTCTTCTATAAGGCAGGAGTTATCAACCAAACTGGAGGTGGTGCGGGAAGCGGTCAACAGCAAGAAGGCCAGTGAGACGGACGAAATGGCGAAGTTGCGTTTACAAGTGGAGGCGTTGTGTCGACAGAAGGAACCCGTTGTTGAGAAGAAGAACTCGGAGAATGACGAGGTACGAAAACTAAAGGCTCGCGTTGACGAACTGCAGAAAGTTGCCAGTACATCGGCAATGGGCACGCGCCCGACTGGTGACATGGACGAGCTGGCGCGGCTTCGGAAGGAGCAGGCTGATACGAAGGTGGCGACAGAGAAACGCCTTGCTTCGATGGAGGAGGTGATCTTCGCTCTCCAAAAGCAGTGTGAAGTGGCCGAAGCCAATGTGGAGGCGTGGAAGAATGGAGCCTTAGGTCCAGGGAACAAACGTGGGTCCGTAGCGATTGGTCAGACTCGAGCATCTGAAGCTCGCGTTCGACCTCGTGTTACTCCTGTGGTTACACTATGTGTCACGGAGCGAGTTAATCCGCGCATTAAAGCGATTGTGGAGCGGCATCAGCAGGAGGTTGAACTGTTGGAAGAAATGCGTCTTCGTGAAGTCAACGCGCAAAAGGAGTCAGAGGAGGAGGTAGAAAGACTGAAGGAATCCCTGGCCAGACTGGAGACTGCAAAGAAACGGGGAGGAACTAATTTGAAATCGAAGATGGATGCAGCAGCAGGCGTGTCTACTAGAAAGGATGTGGGAAAAGGAGTGGTTTCTCTTGTCGTCATTGTGAGTCAAAGGGAAGCGGTGCTACGGGAGGAACGAAAGAAATTACGTAATCTCAAGAAGGAAGATGTCGTCACTATTTGTGAAAAGGAGGGAATTACATATTCGAAGTTGGAAACAACCAAGGAATTGATTGCTCAAGCACGTGCTGACAAGGCGGTTGAGGATAGTGATCCTAGCCAGGATCTCGGGAAGGTTAACTTTGTGGTCGATATTACTGATGATGGTGTTGGAGGGGGTGAATCCGACAAGAGCGAGGGACGTGACTCAACGACTTCTTAGGGTCATGTCCCGGCGCGGCTCAGTTCTGGCATGTTGTTCGTATTTGTTGTCGGCTACGCTCTCTTGATGTTCGGTGGCTTCAGAGTAAAGAGGTAAACGTATTGTTAAGTACTGTGTCGTGTGGGCTAATTTCCCTTGACGAGATTCCTTGGTGTTGTAAGTTGTATTAGTTTCTTCGTGCATGTAGCTCATCTTCTCGTTGTCAGGATATTGACGAATGGTGTGGACCTATTGTCTATGCGTTGATATCTCCATGGTCACGTCATATCTACGTTGGTAGTACAGGTCGCGATTTGCATTGTAGATGGAGGGAACATGTTTATAGGGCCTGTTTGCAGAATGGTGGGAATACGGGTAAGAGAAACGAGAGACTTTATCAGTGGTTGCGACGATGTGGTATGCACACCTATGCGATTGTTCCGTTGTGTGTCGTTGTGGCAATGATGATCTGTTGGATACTGAGAAGTTCTTTATTCGGCTGCTGTGCCCCGCTTTGAATACTCGAGATAAGCCTAGGCGGTCACGTAGGCGCACACCAGGGAAAGAATTCGAAGAAAACGGGCAATCGGGTTGCTCCGATAGATCCAAGGAATAAGTCGAGCAGTGGAGGTGGCTTTGTGTGTACGTTTCACGATGAGCAAGGTGAGAGCTCTGTGAGTCTTGTCAGGTTGTTAAAAAACTGTGCTGAGTCGAAGGTTCGGTGTTCAACTGTGAAGTGCACGGGTGGAGAAAGAATTGTTGATCGGTGGAAGGTACTGAAATGGTTGTTTGGGGGAAGTCTGATATCTTGTGTTTTTGGTGCGAAGGAGTTGCGCTATGCACGGGATTGGTTGAGGGGAGGATTGGCGTTGATATTTAATCCGGTTATTCCTTTTTTGAGTCGGTCGTTGACCTTGAAAGTTCCGCTAGCAGGTTTTTTGAGGAACCCTAGTAGTAGGGTGGAGTTGAATTCGTGGAATTTGGATGGTTTGATCGCCGCATTTACTGCTTTACGTACTTTCAGCGAGAAACGCTCGCGTTGTCGTCTACGATGTCTGTTGTCCCGTTACATTTCTGTGAAATTTAATATTCAGGTTCGTAAGAGAATCGTTGTTAGACTCGTGTACAATGATGCCATTTGTAAGTTTAAAGTGCGACAACTATGCGCGAGTATTATTGGCGGTCTGGACATTCAAAGTTCCTGGAAGTTGATGGTGATTCGAAGAATGCGGATAGTGTGGTGCAAGAATAAGAGTGTCGGTGACGTTATTTATAACTTTCGACAGACCGCCAAGGTAAGTGTGGCGCAATGCTCATGTGCGCCTGTGGATAGTCGTTTGACGCGAGTAGAGGGGCATGTCTCAGATCGTATTGGTGAGGCTACGGACGTATTTCCATCTTGGATGTGTAACTCTCGGAATATCCTCCGACCGTCAAGACAGAGGAAGATTAGCGGACTTCAGGAGCAGATTCTTTCGTCCTTCTCTTCTCATCCCTCCCTTCCTACAGTGGATCGTAGGTGTTTAACTAGTCAGGATGTTGCGAGCTGTTATTTGAACGGCCTGGAGAGTGCGGAAGACGGAACAACTATGTGTGAAGACGACCTTCATGATGTTAGCAGGATGTTATCAGGACTTGTTTGGAGTCCTATTGATCACAACGTGAGAGATACCTTTGTGTGTTGTCCATTGGTGTACGAGCAAGGTATGAAAAAACTTTTTTCAGAGAATCAGTCTTTTCGATCTTGTGCCATAGAGGAGAAAAAAGTCTCAGCTATATGTGCTAAGGAGTACAAGACGAAAGGGCTGCAAGCGATGGGGAGGTGGAACGATAACGGTCACTTCGGAGAGGCATATTGCATCCCTAAACATTAAGATGTAACGAGGTGGCGACCCATTTGTCCGTTGTTTGCTGAGTGCTCGGTGGTTGGAAGTCGGGTGGCATCTCGGGCGGTAAATGCTTTGTTGTGGAATTTGCCTGCTAATAGTAGTTTGAATCTTCGAAGGGCGGACTGCCTGTTGACTGAAATCAAGAGAGTCAATAAAGGACTGACTAAGAGATCTGTTCTTCTGGGGGCTTCGTTCGATGTAAAAGAAATGTTTTCGAATCTCCCCCATCAATTTTGAGAGCTTTAGTATGGATGATTGAGTTTTGGAAGGCAAAGGGCGTGTACTCTGTTGGGATTCGGAGTCATGGAAAATGAGCTAAATCGTTGAAAGGCAAATGTGATCTGGGATGGAGGAGTATCTCATTAGATTTAGTTTTTTCTTTTATATCTTATGAGCTGAGCAATACCTTTGTGTTTGCTGCTGGGCAGTTACTGCAACAAGAGGTGGGTATACCCATGGGCAAGTGTTCGAGCCCGGCCTTGGCTTGTACGCTATGTGCGTACAATGAGTTCTCATTCTTGTCAAGTTTGGGAAACGATCGCAAGTTGTTTAGAGGATTCTGATTGGTGGATGATGTTTCGGTATTTGTTGTGTGCAAGGAAGACGATGGGTGTTCTATGAGTAAAGGATACGACTTAATCGGTTCGTTTAGTCGATGCTACGACAACAATCTGGTATTAGAGCGTATTAGCTCAGGAGAGTCTTGGGATTACCTTGGCTGTGTTTTGAAGATCTTTAGTGGCGCAGATGGGTTACACTGTTTCCCTATGATGAAAAACCAGAGGGAGAATGACATTCTCAGGTTTCAATGTGTGCAGGATTTTGTCTCGTATTCGAGTCGCCAACAGAAAATGGCGGTTATCTCGTCTTTCTTACACCGAGCAAAGACATATTTAACTATGGATGGGATGATTGTGCCGTTTCTGGTGGAACTGAAATGTGAATTGTGGCATAGGGGGTATCCGGATGACTTATTTGACTGCGCCCTGGTGAACTTCTCACGAAAATTCGGGGGTTTGTGGAGCGAGTGGCTACCTGTGCTCACTAATTGGGATCGATGTTTCGGTGAGCATCGTCAGCAGGGGGTGTTTTGCCCTCGATTCTAGGGGGCCCTTTACTGTTTGTAGGCTAGGACGATGTTATTGGTGAAGATTTCGGTTTGGTATTCGACCCGGTGACCTATGGTTCTCTATCTTTTGTTTTGCGGCCTTT